TTATACACTACCCTTTTGTTTCCTCCAGCTTTATTGAGATATAATTGACATATAACATTGTGTAAGTTTACAGTGTAAAAAGGGTTGATTTGATACTTATATACTGCAAAATGATTACCACCATAGCTTTAGCCAACACTTCCATCATGTCACATAATTACCATTTATTTTTTTGTGGTGAGAATTTAGTATTTATTCTCTTAGCAACTTCCAAGTATATAATACAGTATTATTGACTATAAGCACCATGTTATTATATATTAAATCCTCAGAACTTATTCATCTTTTCACTGGAAGTTTGTACTCTTTGAGCAACATCTCTCCATTCCTCCCCAGTCCCTGGTAACCACCACACTATACACACTACTCTTAAAAGAGCATTGTATGGCTTCTTAGCATTTTGGACTGCTGAATTTATCCTAGAGTTTCTAAAGTGGTTTCACTCTGCACTGACAACTATGGAAAAACTCTAATACATAATAAAGACATTTGCGCACACACACACACTCTCTCTCTCTCTCTCTCTCATAGTCATACCTGATGAGACTTCTCCATAGTGACTATAAATTTCCATGTTACTAGAGCAATTTTTTGTAAATTGTTGTCCCAGAGACCACTAAAAACTTTTGCCTATTCCAAGGTCATGAAAATGCTGTCCTATATCTTCCTCCAAAATATTTATTATTTTATCTTTCACATTTAAATCTGAAATCAATCTGGAATTAATTTTGTGCTTAGTGTGAGGCAAAAGTCTAGTTATAATTTTTCCACACAAATACCCAATCTTGCATTACTTATTTAAAAGACCATTCCTTTTTTTTTTTTTTTTTTTAAAGACCATTCCTTTTTGCTAAATATGAGTGTCTCCTCTGTCATAAACTGGACTTTTTTTTTTCTTTCATTTTTGTCTCTGGTGTATAGAAATACTTACTTTCTTGTGTGTGTATTAAACTTGTATACAGTGACCTTGCTAAATTCACTTACTAATCCTAAATATATATATTTAGATTCTTTCAGATTCTCTAGTTACATAATCATGTTATTCATGGATAAAAGCAGTTTTTAGTTATTCTTTTCCAATCCTTATGCCATACATTTCTTTTTTCTTGCCTAATTGCACTGGCTAGGCCTCCAATACAATGTTGGATAGAAGTAGTGATAAAGATACATAGAACTTGTCTTATTACTGCAGCACCTGACTGGCTCAGTTGGTAGAGCATCCAACTCGATTTCAGGGTCATGAGTTTGAGTCCCACACTGGGTGTAAAGTCTACTTAAAATTAAAAAATAAATAAATAAATAAATAAAATTTAAAGATAAAAATTTTTTAAAAAAGAACTTGTCTTATTCCTGATGTTATGAAAAAAGTTTTTAATATTAACCACTGAGTATGTTTCCTATGGAATATTTTTTTTAAAGATTTATTTATTTATTTTAGAAAGAGAGAGCGAGCATGAGTGGGGGAGGGGCAGAGAGAGAGAGAGAGAGGTGAGCAGACTCCCCACTGAGTGGGGACCCCAACGCTGTGCTCAATCCAAGGACCCTGAGATCATTACCTGAGCTGAAGGCAGACACTTAACTGACTGAGCCACCCAGGCATCCCATGCATCCAACTCTTGATTTTGGCTCAGATCACAATCTCAGGGTAGTGAGGTCAAGCCTCAGGTAGGGCTCTGTGCTCAGCAAAGAGTCTGCTTCTCTCCCTCTTCCTCTGCCCCTCCCCCTGCTCACACACACACTCTCTCTCTCTCTCCAATCCATGGACATGGGATGTCCTTCCATTTGTTTGTGTCTTTGATTTCTTTGAACAAAGTCTTGCAGTTTTCATTATACAGATCTTTCATCATCTTGGTTAAATTTATTCCTAGGTATTTTATTGTTATCAATGCTATTGTAAATAGGATAATTTTAAAATATCTTTTTGAGATGTTTCATTGTGAGTATATAGAAATGAAACTGATTTCTGTTTACTGATTTTACATCCTGAAACTTTATTGATTTCATTGATTAGATCCAATGGTTTTTTTGGTTGAGTCTTGCGATTTTCAATATATAAGATCAAATCTGCAAATAATGCCAAAATTTACTTCTTTCTTTCCAGTTTGGATGCCTTTTATTTATTTGTTTTGCTTGGTTGCTGTAGCTAAGACTACCAGTACTATGTTCAATAAGTGTAGTGACAGTAAGCACCCTTGTCTTTTTCCTAATCTTGGAGGTAAAACTTTAATTTTTCTCCTTGAGTATAATGTTATCTGTGGGTTTGTTGTATGTTGAGGTATATTCCTTCTATACCCAATCTGATAAGGGTTTTTATCATGAAAGGATGTTGTATTTGGTCAAATGCTTTCTCTGCATCTATTGAGATAATCATATGATTTTTATCTTTAATTCTATTAATGTTATATATCACATTTATTGATTTGCATATGTTGAATTGTCCTTGCATCCTAGGCATAAATACCACTTGGACATGGTGCATAATTCTTTTCATGGGTTCTTAAATTCTGTTTCCTAATATTTTGTTGAGAATTTTTTCATTTATGTTCATCAAGGATATTGATTACACATTTTCCCCCCTCATCCCATTTATTAAAGAAAGAGTAAGAAAAGATACAATGAAGGAAAAACACAAACCATCCTTTCATGTTAGGCTGAACAAAGCACAGAGATTTTTCCCCTCCCCCCCCACCCCACCCCAATTCCCACATTCCTATTCATGTCAGCTTAAATTTTGAGGTTCTTTGATTGGGAGTACTAGTGGAGAGGGAGTTAGATGAGCAGTGGAGCCTTGATTCTGGCCTCCTGTAAGGAAAAGGAATCTGCAGGCCCAGTCAATCAAGCAGAAATTGTATTTGGTGGGTCTTTGAAGTGGTTGTCCACTTCCCTGTTCTGTATTCAAGCCCCCAGGGAAAGGTATGGCAGTAGAGGATGACCAGATCTAAAGTTGCTCAGGTCAGAGATGTTGAAACATGGTCTGTTCACCAATGCAACATTTCTAGAGAGCAGTGAACTGAATCTCCAGTGGTGAGCAGGGGACTACATATGAATTGGGACCTGCAGGTCAACATATCCCTGAGGAAAAGTCCACAAGAACAATTCAAGAAAGTAGTCATAAACAAGAGGCAGAAATCTGTGGGACAAAAGCACAGCAGGCTTCTGGAGGGCTGGAGATCCTTTCTCTCAAGTCAGGATCATTCCCACCTACCGTAGCTCATCTCCCACAAATAACATTTCACCTTCAGTCAAGAAAGAAGTAGAGGAAAAAGATGCTTCATTTGAATTTGAGCCCTAGCTATGTACTTCAGACTGTAGCTCCATAGCTACCCTTTTACCTAAAACACAGCTCCTGGTCAGAACCACAGTGCTTGGAAACCAAAGTGGTCTTAGAGAGAAAATGGTGTTTAAGGAGGTAACATTCCATTTGGGTACATTGCAGCCATTGAACCCCCTGGTCTGGGGAAAGCAGTAGGGTTTATGCCAGGGAGCCTCCCTACTCTAGGAAATGGGACCAAAGTCTTACTTATAGGGGCCATTCATCCTTGGAAAGGAAGCTGGGTTTAGACCCAGGGTGCCAATTGGTCTTGCAAAAGGAGCTGGGTTAATACCCAAAGAATCTGCTGGATAAGGGCCCAGGGGCCCAGAAGCTGACCTGGGGAAAGTAACCTGACCAGAACCTAATGGGCCAGTAGACCTTGGAAAAGCAGCAGAACTTGGACCCTGCAAGCCACTGGCCCTTGGGAAGTTAGCTGGGTTGGGACCTAGTGGCCCAGAGGTTCTTGGGAAAATTGCTAGACTTTAGCCCTGGAAGTCAGCAGACCTCTGGAAAGTAACTGGATTTGAAGCCAATGTGCCAGAAGACTGAGAGAAGGCAGCTGGATTTAGCCCCCCTGAACCTGTCCCCTTGGAAAGGGATTAATATTTACTCCCATGGGCCCAGCTGACCTTGAAAAATGAACTGAATTAGGGTTATGGGGACCAGGGCCCTGGACATGGGAGATAGATTTGGCCCCCGGAAGGCCACTTCCCTGAGAGCCAGGACACAAGTTTGGGACTGTGGAGTCAGGTACTCTTGCCATGGAGGATGGGCTTGTGCCATCCTGTTTCCAGAAGCCTTTGAGGAAGCAGCTGAATTTGCTCCTGAAAGACCTGCTGCTCTTAGAATAGGGGCAAGATCTAGGCCTCGAGATCCAGCCATTCTTAAGTTAAGGCCAGATCCTGTGCCCACGAAGCCACCTGCTCTGGTATCCAGATTAGGGCCTGGGCCCAACTGCCCTTGGGTTAGGCCCAAGGTCTGGGCCCAGGCTACTTCCTCTTGGGTTTGGTCCAAGGCCCAGGCCTGGAAACATACCTAACCTCAGAGCAGGATTTGTACCTACGAAGCCTGATCTCAGATTGGGACTTGGTCTTGGTCCCAGGCCAATGGGCTTAGGACTAGGATAACTATTCCCAGAAGTCAACAGCACACCTACTGTCAGGTTGGGCCTGATCCAGGGCCCATGGGGCCACCACTTCTGGGGTCAGGACCCATTCCCAAGAGACCACCTGCCCTTGGGTTGGATATAGGACCTGACCCTGGGAGACTCCCTAACCTTGGATTGGACAGAGGCCCTGTACCTGGAAGAGCCCCTGCTCTAGGGTTTAGAGATGGCTCTAGGCCGGGGCCCACGAGGTCACTAGGCCTTGGGAAAGAAACTGCACCTGCGCTCTTGGAAAAGAAGCCACGCCTGGGTCACAAGCACCAGCTGGGAAAGGTGATGGATTTGTAGCCAATGAACCTGATGAAGTTGGAAGAGGCAATGGGTTCCTTGGAAATGAGGCCAGATTTCCACCAAGGGAACTGGTTGCCATAAGGAAGGGGTCAGAGTTCATGCCCAGTGGGTGGCCTGTGTTCATAACAGGACCCCCCTGCTGTCCCAGGGAACCACCCAGCTGACCTCAAGGTGGCAACTGAGCACTAGTCCAAGGAGTTAGCTGCTCTCTAGGGAAAATCCAGGGTTCTTTCATACTTTCTTAGGGATGTTGGTGATAATGCGCTTGGGGTTAGTTTTGAAAATGATCTTGCTGGGTGCCTGGGTGGCTCAGTTGGTTAAGCAACCAATTCTTGGTTTCAGATCAGGTCATGATCTCGAGGTCGTGGGATCGAGCCTGTGTCAAGCCCCACCCCCATCAGGCTCTGTGCTCAGCACGGAGTCTGCTTCAGATTCTCTCTCCCTCTTCCTCCCACTCACTCTCTCTCTCTCAAATATATAAATAAAATCTTAAAAAAGAAAGAAAGAAAAGGATCTTGTTTTTGATGAGTGCTATCACCAGGTACCAGGTACCAGTCTTGCAGCTAAGCCCATCGTAGTCCTGCTGCCCAGGAGTGTGTTTGACAAGGACAACAACAGGTTTCTCCAGATGGATGATTTTTCCATACAGGATATGATGCCCCACAAACAGCACAGGGCTGTAATGTAGGTCTCCCAGGAGGTTTCCTGCTAATCCAGTGCTGTAGCAAGCCTCGATCTCCCCCCGTAGCTCCATCAGCACCCACACTGCAAGGCCTCTAACCCCAGCAGTGGAAATAACAATTTGCACCATGAGCTTTCCATCTTTAAAAAAGCAACTGAAAGCTTTTGATCTTGATGAAGTCCCAATAGTTCATTTTTGCCCTTGCTTCCCTTGCCTTTGGCGATGTTTCTAGGAAGAGGTTGCTGCGGCTGAGGTCGAAGAGGTTGCTGCCTGTGTTCTCCTTTAGGATTTTGATGGACTCCTGCCTCACATTGAGGTCTTTCAACCATTTGGAGTCTATTTTTGTGTGTGGTGTAAGGAAATGGTCCAGTTTCATTCTTCGGCATGTGGCTGTCCAGTTTTCCCAACACCATTTGTTGAAGAGACTGTCTTTTTTCCAATGGACATTCTTTCCTGCTTTGTTGAAGATTAGTTGACCCTAGAGTTGAGGGTCCATTTCTGGGCTCTCTATTCTGTTCCATTGATCTATGTGTCCGTTTTTGTGCCAGTACCATACTGTCTTGATGATGACAGCTTTGTAATAGAGCTTGAAGTCTGGAATTGTGATGCCAGAGCTTATGGTCCTCTTACATTGCCATCTTGGCCCCTAGTCAGCTCCCAACTATGATTTTAGAATTGCCTTTTTTTTCTGAAATGTTTTGTTTTATTTATTTTGAATCTATGTTATTATGATCATACAGATTTTGTATTATATCTTCCTATCAGATAGTCCCTTTATTATCATGAAATAAAAACTATTTCTAGTAATGCTTCTTGATTTAAAGGATCCTTTAATATTTGTATAGCTATATCAGGTTTTTTTATTAGTGTTCACATGGTATATGTATTTTTAATCCTTTACTTTCAACCTTTCTGTGTCCTTCTATTTTAAATGTGACTCTTGTGAGGAAGATAAAGTTGGGTTTCTTTTCATCCAGTCTGACAATCCTCTGCTAAGTATCAGTAATTATGGATATAGTATGGTTTATATACAAATTTACTATAGGTTTTCTACTTGACCCATATATTTTTTTGTTCCTTTCTTTTTGTCCTTTCTTGTCTTCTTTTAGATTTGTCAAGTAATTTTTATCAATCCATGTTTTCCATCTATTAGCTCGTTAGTTATTTCATTTTACAATTTTTTTAGAGACAAAACAAGCATCCCTAACTTATTTCAGTCTAATAAAATGCTAAAATGCATTACCTTACCACTTCCTTGAAACTGGTGGAAGCTTAGAATCTTTGATTTCTATTTATCAACACCCACCTTCAAGTTATCATTGTTATGCATTTTAGTTCCATATATGTTTTTAAATTCCAAAAGACATTACAGTTGTTGCTTTGTATATATAAATATATATTTATTTATATTTATCCACACATTTACTCTTTGTTTCTTTTCTTTACATCTTATATTTTATATTTCCATGCAAGATCATTTTTCTTCTGCCAAAGAACTCTTTAAAAAAAAAAGATTTTATTTATTTGACAGAGAGAGACACAGCAAGAGAGGGAACACAAGCAGGGGGAGTGGGAGAGGGAGAAAGAAGCAGGCTTCCTGCTGAGCAGGGAGCCCAATGTGGGGTTTGATACCAGGACCCTGGGATCATGACCTGAGCCAAAGGCAGACGCTTAACGACTGAGCCATCCAGGTGCCACCAAAAGAACTCTTTCATTATTTTCACACATGCCTGTTGCCAACAAATTCCCTTGGTTTCCATTTGGTTCAAAAACTTTATTTCACCATAATTCTAGAAGGATATTTTACTAGGCTAGGCTTCTAGGCTGTTTCTTTCATCACTCTAAAGATGCCAGTACATTACATTCTGTGTTTCACTATTTGTTTGAGAAGTCAGCTGTCATTTTTATTGTTGTTTCCTAGTAGATAATGTGCCTTTTTTTCCTTCTGACTGCTTTGAAGATTTTCACTGTCCTTGGTTTCCAGCAGTTTTACTATGATATGTCTGGTTGTGATTTTCTTTGTGTTTCTCTTGCTTGAGGTTCTCTGACCTTCTTGAATATGGAGATTGATATTCATAAGTTTTAACAAATGCTCATTCGATATTTTTTGAATATTGATTTTGTCTCATTCCTTTTTCTTTCTTCTCCTTCTGAAACTATAATTATAGATGTAATAGGCACTATAAATGTGTCCCACATGTCTCCTGTGCTGTGCATGTTTCCTTTTTTCCTCTTGGCACTTGACTTGTCTTCTAGTTAACTAATTCTGGGTTTGGCTATGTCTAATCTGCGTTGAAACCACCCATTTAATTATTAATTTCAGATATTGTATTTTTTTACTTCCACAAAATCCACTGGCTCTTTATAGTTTACATTTCTTAGTTCTGAATCTTTTCATTTATTCTGTCTGCCTTGTCTCCATTTTATTTAACATATTAATTATGGTTAATCTAAAGCCCCCTGTCTGCTACCTCACATATGTGAATCCTATGTGATTCTGTCTCTCTTCATGTCTTAAAATTTACTTTGATATTAGTATAACTTCACCAGTCATCTTTTGGTTAGTGTTTTTACAGTTTCTTCTGTATTATTTTTCTTTCAACATTTCTGTGCTCTTATATGTAAGTAGCATATAGTTAGCTTTCTTTTCCATACTGGCAAAGTTAATGTCTAGATTATGGAGTTATATTTTCTTGCTTCTTTCAATGGTTAATTTTTAAATTTAATTAATTTTAATCAATTCAAATACTCAACATAGTGTATTTAGAAAAAGAAGAGAGGTTCCACTTACTGTTGTCTTCCACATTAGAGGGATCCCCCTGCTCTCTCTTGGGCAGATATATTAAAGGGCTGACCATCTCAATACAACCAAGGACTTAAGTAGGTTACAGCTGTTTCTGCAGTCAAACCTCATATAGAATCAGTATTTCTCTTCAGCAATCCTTATTTTCTGATTGAGAGCCTGGCAGGTCTCAAACTTCTCAGCTTTGAAAGTCTGCAGGAGATCTGGGGTTTCCAGCCTAGATCTCCAGCCTCAGCCCACACAGCTTCAACCTGGCACCTGTCCTAAGGAGGACATGGGTGGTAATCTTGAGGCAGATTCCTTCAAGTGGTGGATCTTTGGAGACTGAAGATATTCCTCTCTGGCTTTTAAGAAGTTATTGGTTTAGCTTTTTAGTCATGCACTCAGCTTGCAATTGTGCACTTGGGGCCTCTCAAGTTTCTCATCTCTCCTGCAGACCCACACGACTACTAAAACTTCACTGGTTTCCTCTGCTCCTGTGGATGGTCTCTTTTTGGTCCAAGTCTGATTCTTAGCTTATAATCAGTGTTGGCAAATGGCCCCAGAGAAGAGGAGGGACATCAGCTTGTTTCATAACAGTACTGGTTCTCTGGAATTTTCATTTATTTAGTCCTCATGGCTCTCACAGTTTTCCTATGCTGTGATTCTTAAAAAAAAAAAAAAAAATTCTAGGCTTTTGCTTTTCTGTTGATACTATGGGAGTACTGGTCTACTATAACTTATTGCATACTACCCAGAATTGGTTTTGTTTTTAATACCACTGGAAAGGAAAATCCCCGCCCCACCCCAGGCCACAACACCTACCAGGATTGCTGTTTCAATGCTGCTGATGGGAATCTTCAGCATGATATGCTTTTCCTCTCAAATATTAGTCATAAGCATGTCATAGCTATTCTCTTTATCTTGAGGAAAAGGAAAAATGTGGCCCTAGATTCTTAACAGAGATTATCAAGGAAGGAGAGAAGTATTCAGGGGTAATGCAAATTTTAAGTGAGGTAGCAAAAGGTGGATTGGAGTAGGAATTTTAAGTTGCAGTTTGACATTGGACTCTGCCTCTTACCTGGTTATATTGGGCAAGTCATTCACTTCTCTCAATCTCAGTTTCCTGGAATTTGAAATAAGGTTTGTTTGACTCTAAAACCTATATTTTACTCACTACACCAATGCTGTCACAACTGCACATAGGGGATCCCTGATTTGGATCTTATCTGTCTGTTTGAAACAGGCCCAGTACAATGGAAGTCATAGAAGAGAAGTGTGGTTTTCTGGCTGCCATGAAAAATGGATAATTGTCCTCTGAAATGATTTCATCAGTGCTAGAGTGGAATGAAAATGAGAGGACTCAAGATCAGGGAAAGGCAAAAAGGCTAAGGACAGTCAAGATCTACCTACTCCATCCTTCCATCTAACATGGCTGAAAATCTGCAAGTTGAGGGTCCTGGAGCTGAACAGAGGATTCCCCAAGATCCTGTGGTTCTGGGAAACAGAAACCACCCTAAGATGCCATGAAAAGCAGGTCAGGGAACTGAGAGGGTGTGAGGACAAGGCATGACATAGCCTGAGGGCCTGTGTCAATTCATCACCACTCCTTTGACCTAGTTTAGGAACTGTCAGTCTGGTGGCTTCTACTGCAAGAGAAAGAAATCTAACACAAACACAAATTGGGGGGAGGATAGCAGAGCTATTTGGGACAGGAGAAAAATTAAGAAATAGAAAGTTTTCCCTATGGATTTTAGCCTGTTTCTTTTTCTACTTCTGTGTTTGAGCAATGCCCTGATTCTTTTTTGTTACCAGACAGCTAGGGTATTTGAACACAAGATGACAGAGACTCAACTCCCGTTTCATTAATTCCATCTGGAACAGAGGGGATAAGGTAGTTCCTGGGCTTGTGCCTTCATACAGGAATTGATTACTTTCTGACTGATTCTGTTATGAGTGAGGAACTAAAGTCTTCCAAGAATTTAGAACTAGTCTCAATATTAAGCTTGTTCCCTTAATGCATTTTTTTTCCCTAAGCACTCACATGGACTCCTGAGACTTCAATCACCTTCTGAGCTAGAATAAGGGAGACTGATGGTCCTGAAACCCAACAGGCCTATCATGACAAAACAAGAAAACTGATCAAGGCCAGAACAGGTTGAATCAAATTAGTCAGTTCCCTAATAGGGGTCAGAAATAAGATTGAGCAGTCAATCACTCTAAGTATATTTTGAGAAAGTTGTCTTTGTAAGCTAGCAAATTCTGAGAACTACGCATTTTGCAAGTGTTACATCATTTTATTATCCTAACAACAAAATGGGGAAGTACTATCTTGTCATCCACATTT